CGGTTCGAAATTAGTTTTTGTGGAGGAAAGACCAGATTTACACACGCCGTTGCAGCAAACAAACGAGCAAACTCTCATAACTTCAAAATAAAAAATTTGAATTTACTCACAATTACTTTCCTGGCCGTTTACTTAATGAACAGAGGTAAATCTTCGTACGTAAATGAATCGTCGATGAGAGTGAATAATACTTTCCGTTAGATCATTGACTGTTTTTTAAGAAAACATTGTCGCGACAGTCCTTGCCAAACTAGTTCCGTTGTTTTTCAAATCTTCTTGCGCTTTTTTTTTCTTACGCGCTCTCTAATTGACAGGTGTCAGATTGTGACAGATACTTGTAAAAATAATGTTTCAAACTTTGTTTGGAAGCCTTTTAAATCACCTTTATCATTACGCAAGTGAAAATGTTTCAGTGAAGCATCTCTCTTTAATTTGTATCACCTTTACTTTAACTACCATTTACTCGCTCGAAAATTGTTCAGTTTATGGAAGATCTTGCCGTATTTAAAGCCCTAAATCATTCGGGTTCTTTCAGAATGTATTTCGTTAAGCTAAAAAAAATAAATATGTTATTTACTGGCTAAGGGTCGGTCCGTATGGTGAAAAACTGTGACCTCGGCCTTGAACGGCCTCGGGCAGCATTTTCAAGACCTCGGTCACAGTTTTTCACCATACGGACCTCCCAGCCGGCAAATAACATGTATGTATTCTCATCACTTGTCTGCCTGATGTTGTATTGATATAGTAGGGAGGAATTCTGTCTTCGCGGTCGTCAAATTTTGTTAATCACTGGTATGATTACAGACTGAATTGGACTCCACTCGGTCCTATTACCATTATAAACAGCATGTTTCACTGACCAAGCGTTGAGGTCCACAAAAACGCTTTGAAAAGAACAAGGCTTACATCCAGCCATCTTGACTGGACAAGCTTGGTCAATGACGTATTTATTACATAGCAGAAATGTTTCGAGTTAATGTGAATCAAAACCGCTTCTAACTTTCATATCACTCTGTCTTTTGAATTTTGTTTTTGAACACAATAAACTCACGAAACTCATTTATATTTTCTTGGTTATCTTTATTTTTCGACTTTTTCGTGTCGCATTTGCGACTCCATTGCCGACATTGTCCAAAAATTTCGAATTCTCTTTGTGCGCCTCTACACGCAATGTTCTTCCTTGCACGGAATCAAAGCGGGAAATTCAGAGCGGACAATCGGGCCTATCTTAGGTAGCGGATCAGAACACAGGATTCGTTTCATCTTGCCCACGGGTGCTGTTAGCTACATAATAAAATCTCTTCTGGTGTTTCGTGGGTCAAAATTTATCGCGTTATTTTTTCTACTGGACTTCCTTTCCACAAATGGAGGATCTACGTGTTGTTGCAGTTGTGTATGAATGCTTCAGACAACCCGAAAAAAACGGCATCGAACTTTAATGAAATGGTACTTCTTCGCTTCTTCGGTACTTTCTAACCTCTTAAGTAGTTTTAAAAAATAAATTTTTGTTGCTGTTTTGCTAAAAAATAATGAAAAAAAAAAACAAAAAATAACGAGATGGTTGTTAATCCATAGTGATAAACGCGTTCTCCCACTGCGTTAAACAATAGACGCTACCCATTTGATAAATATTTACCTTAAAATGCATTGTTCTGTTTTTTAACTTTTCATACACTAAATTTATACGTGAAGTTTTATATTTCATTAACATAAGGCTTATTTTGCTCCTCTTAGTATGCTAAAAGATACAGATAACCTGCGCCAGAAATTACTCGCTTCTTTCAGACAACCATTTCAGCCACTCATTTCTATTCACTCGAAGAATATCAGAAGACATTGTTCATTAAATTTACAAGTATTGTAACCTGCAAAACAAAATGATCAAAATCCTTCTGTTGTATTGTCATGGGAATTGTGACTTTCCTGCCCATAAATTGCAAAACCTGACTTAAAAAAAAAAAAAAAAAACACTCAACGTCATGTTCCCTAGCATCTTCTGCTGATTAAAAATGGTGTGAATGGAAAGTACGCGTGGCTAACGTTCTTCAGTGGCTCACTAAAGATATTATTTACGACACCAAGCTCTTTTTTTTCTCCTTTTTTACTTTTGTGCCCTCATTATCGCCTCCAAGCACAGAGGACATTCTAGACCCCTCACAGAATTTTTCGCAAAGTCCAGGATTTTGTGTTAGTTGTAGTACTGATTAGCAGGATCAAGAAAAAATGAAAATATACTTATTACCATATACAAATTACAATTTAATAACAATACGCCACGATTAAAAGGTGAGACAAATGAACGCTTTTTCAAGCCCCTATCCAATTCGCAGTGTTTCGTTGGACGCATCAGATCTAGGAGTAAAGCCAGTCTTTTGGCTGTATTTAATTCAACTGTTTAACAACCAGTCATTTCTAATATAGAAAATTACATCGGACAATTCTAGAAAACCAGACACTTTTACCATCTACGATGAAACCTTCACGATGACTTCTGCAGTTATGCGCTGCGTCTTAAAGTAATAAGTAGAAATTTGAGTGTCAGTTATCTTCTCTATCTGATTTTATGTCAGGAAAGTATGCCTGACAAATAGATTTTTACCTGAAAATTCTTAAAAGCGATACATTGATCACGTAATAAATTTCCCAATCCTAATTATTTGCACGCTTTCTAATTTGTGGTAATTTTGAAAACAGTGGTATTGGGAAAAACTTATGAAAGGAGTCTAATTACAAAGTCTTACAATGTCCATAATTTTATTAGGGACAAATGATGCATATAGAGAAAAGTAAAATACAAGGAATAAATGTAGATGTTTTGATACAAGGACATGGAAAAAAGTAGCAGAAATTTTTTGTTCTATCGCGTGAAAAACAACGCTGTACTACCACTTTAATGTATGATTAAACTGATGAAACATGTTAATAAGAACCAATTGTTGGTAAGAACAATTGAGCCAATTTGACCATTTCCTTAACAAAAACTACTCTGAACAATTCCTGGGAATAACAATTGACGCATTAACAATAACTATAAGTAAGGCAGCTGTGAAGGGTTTCCTTTCAAAGTTTATCTTGTTCTACGGGACGCTTCACACACGGTTGAGTCCTGGAGAAATACAAAATGGGTACTGCGTGGTTTCTGCCGTTGTTGCAGTTCTTTCTTTTAGTTGGTAAGTAAGACACATCCACGTTTGTTTGAACTCTATTTTGTCAATAATTTTATCTTTAATGCTGCTTTCCTTGAGAGAACTCTTCGTCAGGGGAAAGCCACGTCACGGCTCGTTAAGAAGAGCAACGTCCACGTCAATTTTCCGAAAATTGCTACGCCTGCTGGTTTCTTTTAGGGTAACATGCCTTAGTATAATATTCAGCCGAGTGTTTCACTTGTGCTTCGGAGCAACACAACATTTAACGATCAAAAACCTGATCATGTTTTTTCAACGCTCTTAATATTTTCATTCAACTTTCCGTCAAATGTCTTGAAAAAAGATAAGTTAAAGGAACTGACTCTCCCAAACGCCTCGAGTAAAACACCAAAAGGAACAAAGAAAAGTGCTATTCATGTGCGAAGGAAAGGGCTAGACTACGAAAAATCCCTGCTTTTCGGCGAAGTTCGTCGCTAGAATAAAAACAATTTATTCAGTGAAAAAGAAATTGATGTTGGCTTGCCGTGTAGGCGCCTAAGAAAGAGGCGCACGTATGATCCCTACTCTGGGTGGGGTGAGGTAGAATTATTTCCAGTGCTTAGATGGGATTGAACTACTACGAAATGAAATATCTTTACGTATAAGAAGTAAATTATTGAAGGAACAACTTGCTTTAACTTAAGATCCTTGTCTATCTCCCTAACCAAAATCTCTGAGCAGACAACAACTTTTGGTCAATAAAAGTAGTTTTTCCAACTCCCGTCCTTGAATACATTCTAAACTCTTCCTCTTCCACTAGATCATTGCTGAAATTTCCCTTGAGAACCTTAGAATTTAAGAACTTGAGGATATAGTTTGGATATAACACCAAATTCTCATCAATTAGCTTCCTGATCTTATGAATGTTGTTATGTGACATAAAATATTATATCACAGAAGTATTTTTTTTTCATAAATACATGGTGCTTTTCGCGCGCGCTGATTGATGGTTTAAGAGTTTAATTTACGTCTATTTTTTGCATACAAGCAGAAATAAAATAATTTATTTGTTTCAGTGTCAGTGGCTAGTGGTGAACATTTATCACTAACCACCTCCACATCGGCGAGGAGTTGTTAAGAAACATACTAAAACAGTAAGACAATATACTACAAAAAAGATGATTTAAACTCGTTTATTCTGCAGCTATCTGCAGCTGTCACAATCTTTTCGGGCGCCAATCCCCCGCTAGTTGCTAAGAGATAGTTTGAGATAACTAATGAGAGCGCGCCTTCAACGCTATCTGCTGTTTTAGTATATACTAAACACCATCATTCATCTCCACTGCGGTGAATGATTGTTAAATAATATTGCTTTTGATCTGAAATTAGAGTGATAGATTCAGAGATCATCGAGTCAGTACAACCCATGAGTACTGGCACAGACAGCAAATGTATACACCAACAAATAATTCCCAACAAAAAAAAAAAAAGCAACAGCGAGACAAAATAAAGTAAGAGAAATGAGAGATGTTTTTTATGATAACTGGGTTTTTTTCTTTTCATTTTCTAGGATTTGTGGCAGGAGGTATGTACAAAACTTTTTCGAAGCATAGTTTAAAGTAACCTTATCGTGGGAAAATGAGACACCCGATTCAAATATAGGAGGCATAAACTTTCCACAAAGGGCAGGAAAAAAACCGGGTCAGCTTAATGGAAAATTAGATTCATTTATTTCCCCACCCTCTATGCCTATCGTTGTGCAGGTGTGTCTCTTCTTGGTATTCTTTATGTCTTATTTGCGGATGATATTCGTCTCCTCTCAAAGTGTTGTAGTCCCTACTTCCCTTACTGGGCGTTTGGTATTTTCGATATCTAGATTGTGACGCACCACTAGGAATAGAAAGTGGAAAGATTCCAAACTCAGCAATGAAGGCTGCCACTGTGGTATGTATAAATGTTTTGTATATTTTCTTTTTACTTGACAGCATGGGTTGTTCCTCGAGCAATATCCCCTTCAAATGCTTGCTGTGGTCCTTGTCAATATTTCCCCAAAAGACATTATGTCAAAGGTGGCTACATCATGATATCTTAAATATTCATTTATCCCACCGTGTTCAATTTGAGGGTGACTAAAACAAACTAGTTGGATGAGATAGTAAAACAGAAAAAAATGGCGATACTGAGCCAAGAAGGACCAAGGTAAAGGAAACTGCTGCGAAGATCCCAGAAGTATTTTGGGGTCTATGTCAGCAGCTAAACAATTGCCCACTTACCCCTTCCCTAATCCATCTTTAACCCAAACTTTTCAGTAGTTGACTGTCATTGGGTTAGGGGAAGGGTTAGTGTGCAGTTGCTTAGATACTGTCATTGATCCGGATTTTCACACAAATGAGACAACAATAGGCCATTTTACAGTAATGAACTTAGTTGCCAAGCCTTTGATTTGGAGTGAGGCTGAAGGTGACCATGTTGTGATAGAGATTAGTATCTAGTTAGCATGATAACAAAGTAATTTGCATTTGAAAAGCAGCAACGTTCGTATCATAACAAGGTCATCTGTAGCCTCACCCCTGTTCAAAGGCTTGGCAACCAAGAGCACAACTGTAAAATGGACTACTACACCATTAATTACACTTAAAAGCCCAAGCAGATACAATCAGAAGGAGAAATAAACGAATATATGCAACTTTTTAATGAAGAGGTTGTCGCAAAAGCGCACGCGACAACCCCGAAAGGCAAAGAGGCTAGTCTCAGGTCATGGCTCCTCGACCTCAGGATTTCAGGGAAATCTGAGAAAACATCACTGTAAGGAGGAGACATGGCAGGTGTAATCAATTTATTTCATTCACAAGACTGACTTTTACTTCTATACTCAGTTATAAAAAGGAAAAAAGGAACGAACTTACCCTAATGAAAAACGAAAACCATGTAAACTCAACGAGTTTACATCGTTTCTTTAACCTAAAGAGAAAATCTTTAAAACATATTGTTCAATTTTTTTGTTCCTCTCGTATTCACGTGCATGTTGGTGTTCATCCCTTGTTCATTCGGGATTTTATTTATATTTCTTTGTTATATTTACTTGTAATAATTCATTGATCACCGGATGCCCGGATCACTTTTCGAGATTGTCGCGTGAACTTTGTCCTTTTACCGACAATCTTTCTGCAAACATCCGTAATATGCGCACCTGTATTGCCTTGCACGGTGACATTTCAGTCTCTAGGCAATAAAATTTGTCAAAGACGAAATTCGTAAAGGACTGGGGCCGGACATTGTATTCCAGGAAAGTTCTCGGCCAGGTGTCGCTGACAATTTTTACTAAGTCCTCCCTTTTATACTCTGTTAGCGACGACTTACCCCTCCCCCCTTCCTCATGAAAACCATGTGATTCCTCTAAAATCCTCCACACCCCCCTCCTTCCTCCGGCGATAGGGATAATGGCCAAAGGTGTGCGGGGTCAAACTATCAGGATTAAGTGCGTCTTCATATCTTGCAGATATTCATCCTTACATGAGTTACGAGAGATCATCTTTTCTTTTTCTTTATGAATTGAAATTTCCAGTATGGCGGAGCAGGTTGGGAGCCTTACAAGGGAAGACTCAATCATCAGACTACATATTTGGCCGGAAATAACAAAAAGGGCCAGTGGCTCCAGGTGGATTTCGGCAAAGTTGTCAAAGTGACGAAAATTGCCACCCAAGGTCGCCATAATGCCAATCAGTATATCACCAAGTATGTAGTCTCCTCAAGCCTCGACGGTAGTCTTTTTCAGTTTCAAGAGCACAAGCCCTACACTGTCCCACGGGTAGGTTGTAAAAGTATTCGATAAATTTGGCCCTAAATGCGCTTCGAGGCTTGTTCTATCAAAACAATAGAAAATATGTTTAAATTAAAAAAATAGAAGAAAGACCATCGACAGAGGTTACGCTTGACTGGATTTTTGGACATGCGCACAATTAAGATCTAATCATACCACCAAGTAGTGACAAAGAGGAGTGACATTAGCGTCTTCGAAAAGCTCGCTTTTCCAAATGTTATTCCTCCTTACTAGGACGCAAGTCTGGCGTTAAAATTTATTCTTTCTGAAGAGCTTTCTTTTTAAAGCTCCTTTTTGTGGACGACTAGTCCAGATCAGAGTAGACGGTAGGCCTAAGCGTAACTTTATCCGGCTTATTGTGATTGTAAAGAGGGTATTGTACGGGTTGGTACTCTACAAAAACATCCATCCATTTTTGTTTTTAGAGGACAATAAATCATTCTTTTTCTAACCTGCACCTAAATGTAAATCTAAATGCTATTTAAATTAGACTGATTTCTTTTAATGACGATGGGTGTTCATCTCAGGAATATTACGGGAACAGCGATTACCGATCTGTAAAGGTGAACATTTTGGATGAACCAATCATTGCTCGTTATGTTCGTATCCACCCGACTGGTTATTACGGTTACACCGCAATGAGGATTGAAATGTATGGCTGCGAGTCCGGTAGGCATGGGTCCAAATTTCCTTTTTTTCTCTTTTAGCTTGAAAGTATTTTAATGAAATGGCTTTTTTCGATCGATTTTTATTATTGTAAACTCCGTCAGGGGACACTTTAGTACAGAGCCAATCAGCGAGGAGGATTATTTACCACGTGGTACAAATGAACCAATCATTGTTTTCTATGTGTACAATTGATCACATGGAATATAAAATATTTCTTTTACTAATACCACTGCCATTTATGTTGTCACTGTTGTCATCATCAGTTTAACTTTTGAACCAGTCAAAAGCGTGTTACAAACGAAAGGAAAAGCGATAACCCTTTTTTTTTTTTCATTTGTATACAACGACCGCTATACTTCGAATTCGGACTAGAGTAGAACATCGATTTAACGAACCCCATATAACAAAGTCCTCGGTATGACGAACGATACTTTTTAGCCCGGCCAAAGTTATATTAAAGTATATGGGACAGAACCTTAATATAACGAAATCCTCGTTATAACTATTACAATCCAGAAGCCCAAACGTATGATATATTCTGATGTAACGAACAAATGTCAACAAGAGACAATTTTTTAAAAGAATTTGTGAAAAAACCAAACTAGTGAGCAGCACTCTGCGAACAGTAGTCGTAAAACGTCTTTACTCTCCGACGCGTTTCGTCTAACTTAAAAGTTAAGTAAAACCGTGGTCCCCAAATATTTTTCTCACCTGGCTCAGAAAATTTGGAAATTTTTCACAACTTTGTCTGTCCTTGTTCGTAAGTCCGACCAAGCCACAGACAAAAATATAAGGGCCTTGCGAGCCGTTTAGATTTATTTACTCATTTAGATCTTCTTGTTGTTTAAGGTTTTGACATTCCAAAACCTCCAGCGTGTATGGAAGGTCTGGGTATGGAAGATGGCAAAATCCCTGACTCGTCCATCACCGCTTCCAGCGTTTACAACTCACACTATCGTCCCAGCAATGGTCGGCTGTACAAATTTCCGTATGGTTGGATGACCTCCCAAAGAAATACCCAACAATGGTTTCAAGTAAATTTTGGAGGCTGGACCCAGGTGACCAGATTCTGCACCCAGGGAGAAGCGTCCGGGAGCTACTGGGTTACCAAGTACAGGCTTGCTTATAGCTACGATGGAGTGTTTTATCGGGATTATGTAGAAGATAATCTTTCAAAGGTATGGTTGTTGTTGTTGTTGTTTTTGTTGTTGTTTTTGTCGTTGTTTTTTTTTTTTGCAAATATAATTCAATACAATGGTTACGAGGGATTTCTGGTAATTTTTTATTTGTGATAAGCTTTTGTCAGTTTTCTTGGACTTGCCCATGCCGACGCTCAACAGCATTCCAGCTATATTGAAGTAATTGATCAAAAGAAACATCCCACTTATTCATTCAGTAGAAATGAATAAACAACAAAAAATAAATTTTCACTCGTTCAGGAAGCTCAGAGCCTTGTAAGCAGCGTAGTTGTTATGGTTTTTCTGTTTTACCCAGCTTTCGTAACTAATTAATCTCCTTTGCCAAGTATGTTTCGAGCACTCTTCAATCGTGTATCCCAAACAATCTGGGTTTACATCGGCCTTGCTTCAGAACACTTTGGGTAAAACCAAAACCGAAGTAATCAAAACCACTGATCAGATGAAAGGATCACAAGAGACAATGAGATCTCAAATTGAAGAAATTTAAGAAAATGAACGACACTTTTTCCAAACATGTTTCAACAGTTCTTCTGTCATCTTCAGTTTTAATTATACAAAGTACAAAGTTGAATTTAGTGTGTAACAAAATGCTGATTGGACAAAACAAAACAATAATAACAGAACAAGGTATACATTTATAGGGAAAGTTTTAAATTCACGTGATAAAGTCGTCGATTAAGTGTAGGTTTCTCTCATTGAATGTGGAAAAAAATTGAAAACATTTAAACTGTTTTAAATGAGTTAAAATGTGAGTGTGCAAACTGCAATGGATTCAAATTTAAAGCTGCGAGACTGACGAGAGTTTTCTAGAGCAAAGCAAAGGAAAACCGAGGCAATCCATTACTACTTTCGACTCTCAATTCAAAATTGCTCCATTTGGCTCTCACCATCTTCGCACTCACCATTTTCGCACTCACCATTTTCGCCATCCTTTCAACCCACCAGACGCCAAACCAAGATCAATCTCGACCTCGTCCTTGAGTTGCCAGTTCTCATTACCTCCTTGTGGTATATTTCTCATTCGTACCTTTCTATGAACGCTAAGTAGTCCAGCTTTGATTGATAAACAGAGGCAATTATTAGAATCCTTGCCGCTTGTTCTATTTCAGGAATTTGTGGGCAACACAAACAACTATCTTCAAATATGCCACGATCTGAAGAATCCAATTGTCACAAGATACATTCGCATCATCCCATTAGCGTGGAATGTTTATATTGCCCTAAGGGCTGGCTTTTACGGCTGTAAATCTGGTAAGTTTCGAATATATCTAATCTTTCTATTCTAGAATCGTGTTTTTTTCACAAAGAAGAATAAAAGCACTTACTACATTTTTGTCACGTGTGAGCTTAGTTAGTTGTAAGTTAGTTTTTAGGTTAAAACTTTATGCTTTTAGAAATTACTAGTTGCCATTCTGCGTAAGTAACGCAGTGATCAGTTCAGTATCTAAGCAACTGCATTTCTACCCCGCCTACCCCTTCCCTAACCCAACATTAACTTGTTATCAGTCAAGAATGTTGTTGGGTGAGGGGAGGGTTTAGGTGGGTTATACTAAGGTAATGGGATAAACTTCAATATATCTTGAAAAACTCTATGAATCTTGTATCGATACCTTTATGCCAACAGGGTTCGATATCCCCGAGATTGTATGCGCAGATGCTCTCGGAATGGAAAACGGCAAGATACCAGATTCGTCCATTATGGCTTCATCACGTCATAACCAATGGTGGGGACCCGAGAGAGGAAGACTTAACGAGCAGAAAGAGGGTATTGGACGGATTTCATTATGTTCTCATCATCATCCTTACCATCGTCATCGTCATTGTTGTCATCATCATTAGTATCTTCTTTGTTATCATCATCCCATTATCATCTTCATTATCAGCGTCATTGACATCATCGCCGTCTTCATCATCTTTATTTTTATCATCATTCCATATTGCCGTGTGTCTGTTCAGTAATAGATCATGGATGACGTCAAAATGCAGTAAGGACAAAAAAGAAAGGCACACAAGGCGCAGCCAGGAGTTGAACTGGTGTTCTTGGCACACCTCGACGTCTTCTTTGTTCTGTAACTGAACAAATCCACAGCAACATGTTTTATTTTGTAGCAAAACGAAATATTGTTCATGGTCACGTCATCAATGCGTCTGTCTACCAATAATTCATTAATAAAAAACCAATCAGCATTACATATGAATTGTCATCGTCATCATGATAATCATCATTATATACGTTAGACCTAGTATGAAAACTCTGATTGGTCGAAAGCATACAGTCAATACACAATGGTGTGTGAAGTTGACAAGATAACTCAATATTTGCTGCAGATAATTGGTTATCATGTCGAGTTCAAAGTCTGTCTAGTTTCCAACCCCTTCGTTTGTGAAGTGTTCCCAAACGTTTGCTAACTCAGAGAGAAATGTCTTTGTCAAAAAAACAATTGTTGAATTCGGTTTTTACATGATATCATGAATTGTCAAACCTCGTGTCTGTGATACAAACTACATGGATGTAACTCAGACTTCGGCGTTGATAATTTATGCAATTTCGAAAACCAGGAGCTCATTGCTTGGAGCGTTCAATTCCCATACTGAACTTATGTCATGGCATTTTCACAGAACGGTTTTTTTATTTGCATCTTTAGGGAGTTACCAGGGTGGTTGGATTTCCCAATATGCCCATACTAATCAATAAGTGATTTGTATCCTTAGGGAGTTACCAGGGTGGTTGGATTTCCCAATATGCGAACGTGAATCAGTGGCTGATGGTTGATTTGGGAAAGGTTACCAAGGTAACTAGACTAGCAACACAGGGCCGATCTGACGCGGGATGGTGGTCAAAGTCCTATAGCCTGGAATACAGTGAAGATGGAGGAGTGTTCAAACCTTACAAAAATGGCCAGGTATCGTAATTAAATTGACTGTGCAACGGATAAGTGGCCTGGTGCTTCGCATGGTTAGGAAGTACTTCCACGTGATTATGAATTCCAGGAACGCGTACTTTATTTTTTTCTCTTAATGTTCTCAGACATATTCTTTGTACTGTCATAGGAGCTTCAAGGGAATATCGACTATACTAATGCAGTTGGGCATATTCTTGATCCACCAATTATCGCGCGCTTCATCAAAATCAACGTCAAATCATATCATGGATATCCGTCCCTGAGAGTTGAATTATATGGATGTACCGATGGTAAGTGAGATGCCTTGGTAGTTGGGGATTAGTTATTTTTAGGGATTTTAAGAAAACCACGACGGCGAAGTCGAAGGCGACGAGAACGTAGCGAAACAAAAGATCTGATGAGCAAAACAATAGCGAAACACGTCCGTTTTAAAACTTTATACATTTCTTAGCCGTCCCATACAGATCAAAAACGTGAAATCATCAAATTTTACGTCCTCTTAGCAAGGAAATATCTACAGCAACTTAGCCACGTTTTTATTTTTAACTCAACACCACATTTACAAGTTGTGCTGAGGTGAAGATGTCGTACCGTCAGAAAAGGTTAACCCATCGAGCTACTTGTAAAAATCTTAGCGGAAAAAAAATTACGTTTCTTATTACCACATGTTGCCATAGTGACATAGATAGTGACATAGTGACATCTCAGACTCCCTATTCACCTCTTGGCCGTGGGGGGGGTGGACAACTTTAGAGGAATCACATGGTTTTCAGGAGCATAAGAATATAACAGAACCCTAAGGGAATTTGACAAATTATTGTGTTCAGGGTTTTAAACACATGCTATCATTACCATTGCATCGCACTGTGAGCCTCTAATAGAATACATCTTTTGCCAGTTTTGAGCAATGTGAAAGAGTAACAGCTTTTACTTTATGAGTGCAGCAGTCCCCCAACCGTTTACTCCAGGGTGACCATTTGCATCCAAATAATTTTACCAGTATCAACCACCATGGGCGAGGGTTTAACACAGGTCAACATGGAATCTACCATTTGTTTTATACGATAAAAGAGAGAAATGTTGTTATACTGACGACGTTATATATCTATGCTTCTGTTCTCCCATAGATCCTGGGTAAAAACCAATGAAATACGTGTGTAATTAAGCTTATCACATAAAACTTGAGTAATCTATTTCTGTGTGCAGGGTTCCCAACACCAAAACCACCACAGTGCATGGATGCCCTTGGAATGCAAAGTGGTAAAATACCGGACTCTGCGATTACAGCGTCAAGCTCATCAAATGCTAATAGCTTTGCTCCATACGTTGGCAGACTTCATTTCCTGAGTTCCGGCAGTGGTAAATACGGAGGCTGGGCGGCGGCCTCAAACAACGCTGAGCAGTATTTCCAGGTCGATTTTGGAAGCTGGACGCAAATATCAGCTGTTACCACCCAAGGAAGGCAGGATTCTGCCCAGTGGGTCAAAACGTACAGCCTATCATTCAGCTATGATGGTGTCTTCTGGCAAACAGTCCTAAATGAACATGACCTAAAGCAGGTGAGAACCTAACAGTACAGTTATCTGCCTTGTTCATTCGGTTGCTTACAATTCTTTTTGGTACAGACTTTTATTCGAAAGTCCCAATCTATTAAATAACTGATTTAATGAAAAATAATGTTACAAAGCGACTCACTCGTGCAATTTGAATTTTATACAGGTTTTTATAGGAAATTCTGACCGATTCACACCAGTAAGGAACGTACTGTACAAACCGATTATAACGCGGTACATCCGCATTCACCCAGAAACATGGCAGTCTCACATAACCCTGAGAGCCGAATTTTACGGCTGCAAAGAAGGTAAAATGTTTATTTGAATTCTTTAAGCACTTTTCGAACCCCAGACCATTATAATCAACGACCAATCAGAGTTAAGGAGGACTTGTTTGAGAGCCAGTAAGAACTCAAAGTAAATCAACGTAAGTGTGAGCAAACACGCGTGACCAAGACTTAAAGGTGAACTTCAGAGGTCTATTATTACTACTTACGATTCGATGACCGCGTCATGAGTTTTTCATAGGCGCTTTTCGGTGTGCTGAGTGCAAATTTGCTAGTGTTTTCCTTGTAAGCACTTCATCATAGTTTGTATTTCATGGAAAAAGTGTCCTTAATTTCTCAGTATGGTTATCTACGTACAATCCCTGTTAATCTTTTCAAAGGTCCTTCATGTAATTCTTCTCACCATATGCCACACAACTCTTATGATGTCAGTTTGGAGAATTTGACATTGGATCAACTAATAATCCCCCAATTATTGATATTTTTCTGTATTCTCATTGCTTGTCTGCTTAATATTGTATTGATATTATAAGGAGAAACTCTGGCTTGGTCACTCATGAGAGTTTAAAAGGTTACTATTCCTTTTTCCTGTAAGGCTATTCATACAATTTCTGTGTTTTCATATCTCACCAAAGTAAAATTTTTCTATCTGTATTTTTGTTTCATGAAGAAGTGTTTTTTTTCTTGTACCTCGGGCTAGTCTCACACTTAAGTATTGAGTCTCAACAAAATACAGCTCTAATTTACATCTTTTGTTGTTGTTGAAATAGGATTCAAACCACCCGTAATAGTTTGTGCTTCTGCTCTGGGAATGGAAAATGGCCACATACCAGATACAGCCATTACAGCATCATCACGTTATAACCAATGGTGGGGACCTGAGAGGGCAAGACTTAACATGCAGAAAGAAGGTATTGGATAGATTATTTTAAACTTGACAGATGTTCCTCTCTCCATCCAGGAGTATAAATGGGTATGGGTGAATTGTCAGGGAAGCCTGATAAAATGCTAAGGGGGGGGGGTAACCTTGCGATGGACTAGCATTCCATCCGGGGGAGGTGTGGTAATAACACTCCAGTAACACTCCTAGTAACACTCTTAGATGCTTCGTGCCATATGGAAACCGGGATAAGCTTTGACTACAGGCGGCCAATAGGCTCTAGCACAGACTTTACCTTTTACCTATCAGTGGGGAGGCTAAGAACTCGGAAACAATTCTAGCATGACAGCTAAGTATTGTGTAAAGTTGATAGTGAAGACAAGAACTCGAACGAAGGCAAAGTGTTGAAATGAAATCTTTCTGAAATGTTAAGGTAAAGATATCTATATCTTTAGGGGGTTACCAGGGAGGTTGGATTTTCCAATATGCCAATATTAATCAATAAGTGATTTGTATCTTTAGGTAGTTACCCGGGTGGTTGGATTTCCCAATATGCCAATACTACTCAATAAGTGATTTGTATTTTAGGGAGTTACCAGGGTGGCTGGATTTTCCAATATGCCAATACTAGTCAACAAGTGATTTCTATCTTTAGGTAGTTACCGGGGTAGTTGGATTTCCCAATATGCCGTTAATAATCGATAAGTGATTTCTATCTTTAGGGAGTTACCAGGGTGGATGGATTTCCCAATATAGGGACGTGAATCAGTGGCTGATGATTGACTTGGGAAAGGTTTCCAAGGTAACTAGAATTGCGACGCAGGGCCGATCTGACGCGGGATGGTGGTCAAAGTCCTATAGCCTGGACTATACCACAGAAGATGGAGGAGAGTTTACAAAGTACAACAATGGCGAGGTATGTTTACACTCACTGTTAGACTATTCGGCGCCAAATGGATAACGAAAAATGAAAGGGCTGTAGCATTTCAGAGGGAGTTTAAAAAAAAGCGTAATGCGAGTTAAAATCCTGGTTGTTTTATCAGACCTGAGTTTAATATGATTTCCATAATTTACACTAAGCTTTTCAATTCAAGTGATGAACTTACTCATTGAAGCCCCGGATGATTTTGGTCATGTCACGATAACATTTATCTGAACCCCCTTCTAAGGCTCTACAATAGCATTATGAACCCCCAACCCCCTCCACAGGGGGGAGGGGGTGGGGGTGGGGCAGGGAATTGGCAGTCAAGTTTCCAAAATTTACCATTTTCCCGCTCCGTTCTCCATGAAAACCATATAAACCCCCTAAACTCTTCCCTCCCCCCTCCTCAGGCGAAAAATGAGTGGTCCCCTTTTCTTAAATCTGAAACTGTCCTTTTTGAAAAGGTTCTTATGGGCAATACCGACTACAAGACTGCAGTTGGCCGCATTCTTAACCCAGCCATCATTGCTCGATTTGTTAAAATCAATGTCAAATCATACTCAGGATACCCGTCGCTTAGAGTGGAACTCTTTGGATGCTCTGATGGTATGTGGCTTATAATGTCAATTATTTGGTAAATAAGAACGTCAAAGAAAAAACTCTAATATAAGAGCAAGTGGCCTTTTTTCACAAGATCTCAGAAGAGACAGAATATTATCGCCTGTATCAGTTATTTTCAATAAATGGTTATTCATTTTTGAGAAATGCAAGATGTCTTAGATATTTCCAATGTTAACCTTTAAGTTACCATTAAGGCAACTTAATGTAGTTCTTCAATACTTATGAGCGGAGAGAAAGAAACCCTGGCGAGGAATTATCGACAGGAACCTAATCTTTCGAATAGCCTTGAAGGAGGCTTTCCTTGTAAAAAAATATTGCTTAGGAAGGTGAGGAAGATCCGTCTCGATTAATAGTGTCAACTGTGTCAGGTCAAGATGTTTTGCAGATAACCTAATGACAATCAGCAAGCACCTAAAAAGGGCTTTGTGTGCATCATCTTGGCAGTTGATCTTTAATCCAATCAAATGAAACTCTCAAAGAAATTTTCCTACATAACAAATAAGCGTTGACCGGCCGTTGTCTACCTCACACGCACGATTTGCTCATTAGTCATGAGGCAGGCGATCTGGGCACTAATTTGCCCTAATATTGTCGGATCATCGTCAGTATTTAAGAAACTGCGCATCTACTCCTCCCGTCATTCATTAATACTAACTTCTTGTCAGTTGACTGTTGAGTTAGGGGAAGAGTAGGGGCGCAGTTGCTAAGTCATGAAACGGAGGGGGAGGGGGGGGGAACATTTATTGACCCTACACATCTATGTTTGACGAGCTACGCGGAAGTGCAACCGTGACATATTCGTCTCAATTCAATTTTACTATGTAATATACTTTTAATTTAATTAGAACTAGTTACCTCATTTTATCTCAGAGTGTGGACTTTCCTTCCGATTGCACGAGGATAAACATCAACAATTAAACAGAATTTTGAGCCTCAGAGTGCTATTAACTTGTAAAGACTACTGGATGAACCTTCAGTGAAAATGAACTATGGTCAACAGGCAAAATAACGTTTTCAAAGTTGCTTTCTACACTGAAGTTTCTATTTAATTTATGTAGGATTTTCCACACCTAAACCACCACAGTGCATGGATCCCCTTGGAATGCAAAACGGTAAAATACCAGACTCTGCCATTACAGCGTCAAGCTCAGCAAATGCTAATAGCTTTGCTCCATACGTTGGCAGACTTCATTTCCTGATGTCTGGTAGTGGTAAATACGGCAGCTGGGCCGCGGCCTCAAACAATGCGGACCAGTATTTCCAGGTCGACTTCGGAACATGGACACAGATCACAGCTGTAGCCACCCAAGGAAGGCAGGATTCTGCCCAGTGGGTTAAAACGTACAGCCTTTCATTCAGCTATGATGGTGTGTTCTGGGAAACATTCAACGATGAGGACAACTTAAAGCAGGTGAGAACCTAATGAATATAGTATTCTGATAATTGTGAATTCCATTGGCTCAGGGTTCTTCGCTAGTGTAGTTATGGGTATTTTATTGATTTCAAGGATTTAAGGGATCATTATTGGTCAATACGTCTGCCGAGAAAATGAAATATTCTTTGAGAATACTTCGGCTTGTGTTTTGGTCAAGGATGTTTGTGCTAGGGAGCGGAAGAGAGGGGGCTGGGTGGTTGGGGAAGCTTCCTAGTAACAGTTAAATGAAGATGTGCTCTATAAGGATGGGGTCGCACATTTTTTGGGGGTAAGAAAATTCTGATAAGGAGGGATTTAAGAATGGGAAGATTTGTGGTTGAAAAGTGACTACAAAGGGGTCTTTAATCGACCATGTAATAGACTATAATGTGGTAGCTGTTCTGAGACGCCAGTGGCACATAACTAACAAGGCCCCCCCCTCCCGGGGGGTTTGTGTCTAATTGTCAAGAAAAAGACAAATAATTAATCTCATAAACGCGATGTGTTTTGATCTCTAAGAAAGTTTGTGATGTTGGGAAAGGTTAGCAAAGTGATGTTTTTCGAAAGGTTTGATTTGATGCAAAGAGCTGGCATCAGACAAATAGTGCAGCGAGATTCAAACGAAAAACGGGCGCTCGTTTTTGTCTCACCACGCAGTCTATTTTTTTTGCTGACCTGCTCACTTTCCTCGCTGTTGACGTAAATTTCTTGCCACAGGAAAATGAAAAAAAAAACTTACAGCAACATGAAGGAATTTTGATGGGTCGGCATAGGAAATTGGATGTAGTGGTGAGACAAAAAAAATTCACGCTCGGTCTAAGGTGCGGTGAAATTGTAAAAAAGAAGATTCTTAACATATGATTCACTTGATCTTAATTGATTGTGTAATTAGTAAATGTTTGTGAAATGAATATTGCAGGTGTTCCACGGCAACTACGATAGATTCACAGTGGTAAAAAACAAATTACATAAACCAATTATAACAAGATACATCCGGATTCGTCCAGAAACGTGGCAGGCCCATATTTCCTTGAGAGCAGAATTTTACGGCTGTAAAGAAGGTAGCAGATAAGATACCTATCATTTTTTATTGCCGAAGGGGGCGGGGGTTTCGGAAGATTTTGGTTGTGTCACAATGAAATTTACTTGAAGTATTCTAATGATCGCCTCTTCGAGAGTCAATTTTCTCTAGACTCTCTTTAAACTCTGGTAGAGAAAACTGATACTGAAACCCCCTCTGTCGCCCCTGAAAACCACCTGATCCCCCCCGTAAAAAAACTCTGATCCCCCACGATAAATAATGACTGGTCGCCATGTTGTATAATCCTTTTATTTTTGGCAGTTGTTATAGTAGGTAGCTTTTGGACAATGGAAAAAACTTTTGATTTTATTCGAGCTAATGCAGCAATGCTTTGTACATTTTAATTTTTTGTTTCCTCCTTTCCTTCTTTTCAAATAACTGGAATCATTTTTTAGGAATGGAACTTGGATGCGTCGTTTTTAATGGAAAACGACGCGCGCACCATTTGAATTGAAATCCTCCTGTTTTTAAAATGGTTCCTTTTTACTGCATGTCAAACGGAAATAGAGACGTCAGGCCGTTTGTAGATCTCAACCCCTTTACTTCTGAGAAGATTAGCTAAAATAATTTTCTTTCTGCAGGATTTGTACCACCGAAGCTGGAATGTCAGTCAGAACTTGGAATGAAAAGCGGCAAGATACCCAACAGCGCTATCACTGCCACCTCTAGCTACAGTGATTCATATCTCCCACAGTACGCCAGACTCGACAATACATTGCCCTCAAATGTCCATGCAGCTTGGTTTCCAAAGTCGCACGATGACGGTCAGTTTATTCAAGTTGATCTCGGAGAAATCACGAAGATAACTCGTATTGCCACTCAGGGACGGTACAAAGTGGGACATTACACCAAAAACTACTACGTAACGTATAGTGTTGAAGGCGGCCCTTACCTCGCCTACAAAGAGAATCAGGTAAATTGTCTGATAAGAACTTACTTTAAGTCGTATGTGGTCCAGGTTCATTATCAACAGTGAAAGCAAGGAAAGGTTTTGCTGTTGACGAAAATATCATGAACGAGTTAAGTAAAATATAATGATTGACCCTGGTGTTACATTCGATTGCAAAAACGTCGACACCTAAAAAGCGTGATCCAGAACGGTTTTATGGGAGACATCCGCCCTGAGTTTAAAGAAATAGAGTGAACGTTTTTTCATGAAAATGGTCGCTTGATAAGGCTTGAGTGAGACAATATGTTAGTCCTTTTTTTGTTGTTGTTTTTTTTGAAGGAATGATGTGAATGACTAGCCGTTAATGACTTTTCGACATTGAAAAATCAACCCCAGAAAATTTCCATAATCCTAGTCCAGCTAGATCTGGTTGCACCACAAGTAGTCCAAGCTCGCAAACGAGACTTCGTAAATATGCAGATATGTTTACGTTGCACAATTCTTTTTTTCTCAAGACTAGTTTAGATTTTAAGGTTGGTAATGCAGTCCTTCTATTTTGTTTTTTCGTACAAATCCTTTTATTTAGTTAATTGTGTAACGCAAACATGTTTACATGTTGACGAATCAAAGGCTCATTATCCGAGCTTGGGCTACCAGTGGTTGAACATTTATGCTGTGATACCATTGGCTACGAGACCCTAGAAAAGGTCGCCAGTGGCAAGAGTGTTTTTCGTGTTTATTTGGAAATCTTGTCATCTTATGTACTTTCCATTTTTTTCCATGCCTTATTCTAGCTTATTCCTGCCAATAAAGACACCAAGACTGTTGGACATATCTTCAACCCGCCCATAATCGCGCGCTACATACGGCTCCACCCTAAACAGTATCATGGCTACAAGGCTCTACGATTCGAATTTTACGGTTGCACAGAAGGTACGTGTTCGCGGTATACTTTACATGATCAAGGCACTAACATTTACAAACGCTTCTGCTTTCACATAGCCTACCGAGCAGGTGTAATTTTGGTAAGCGAGTGTTCAGTATATGCTTGGTGAAAACGAAGCTGCCATCTTTGATTTTTACAGCTGCGAAAGGCTGGGGAGAGAAAGAGATTTGTTCTAAGGGGGTGAGCTACGGTAAAAAGAGAAGAGGGAAGGGATGGGTAGGGTAATAGAAGTTAGTCTCCTCCCCTTTCCCCTTCTAGAGTCGCCCATTTATACTCTGATAGCGATGATTGATTCCCCATCTGTTCCCCTTCAAAAGCATGCCGTCCCCCCCACCCCATACTCTCCGACCCTCCGGGTGATAAACGAGTGGCCCCGCCTTAAGGTGGCGTTGTGCGTCTCGTGAGGAACTTGTTATACAAAAATGTTTGCCTTGAAAGTGTATGAATACTTATACTAGAGTTGCTTTAGACAGGAGTGCGGGATTGCAATTTTAGAACGGCATTCGTTTTGCTTTAACCTCTCTCTGTGATTGGTATGGAATGCACAACCAATCGTGCGTCTGCCCGAACTTCAGACAGTTTTCTTGTTTTACATTTTTGTTCTCTTTTCTCCCTAACGATCTCTAACGATCTTCTTAACTGCTCCTATTTGCTACGGTGATTACCTTGGTTTTGGTTTTTTTTCAATCCCTCCAAAGAGCGCTAAATATGAAAAATCTACCTTTTCTCTACAGGGTTTAAAATTCCGGAAACGCCCACCTGTCAGTTGCAACTTGGTATGCAAAATGGTAAGATACCAGATTCAGTATTAACAGCTTCATCGATGCTGAGTGCCACCTATGCGCCAGGAATGGCCAGACTACATCAAACGGCTGCCAGTGGTCGCGGTGGATCCTGGATTGCAAAAACGCAAGACCACAACCAATGGTTTCAGATTGACTTTGGGGTCGAGACAACAATTACACGGATTGACACCCAGGGTCGACAAGATGGCTCACAGTGGGTGAAGGAATACACACTTAGATACAGCGATGATGGGTCTTACTTTACGCAGTACCAACCCGAAGGATACACAAAGGTTTGTTGTTCCCATCAAGGGATTGTAAAAAACTGTTTATCATATATAGCTTGATATTTGTCGCTAATTCATTTCCCAGCTGTTCAATGATGAGGGCCGTTAAATGAAATAATAAATATTGTATGTTGAGGCCACAGAATGTTATAAGGGCAAAATTGGTGAAGATTCAAGTCTTTATATCGCGGATAGATGTAAAAGTACGCATTCTGTAAATGTAAGGCAGAGAACATGCCCTCCACGAGAACGCTTTGGTAGTGGATTAATTAACTCTCTCTCGAATATCTTTTTTCTTTTTCTTTTTATGTGATAAGACATTTAAGGGAAATAGCGATCGTTATACCGTTGTTGGCCACGAATTGGACCCACCTATCAGGGCACGATATTTGAAGATCATTCCAGAGGAATGGCAGACCTACATTGCGATGAGGCTCGAGTTTTACGGTTGCAAGTCAAGTACGATCCGTTTATCCTGATCATATGATTTTAAACTAACCTAGTAATTGTTTATAGCCAATTCAGAGTATCTATGTTTGACGCTTATTGCGTATCACGTTGGAAGTTGTGCACGCCATTTTTTTCAAATAATCGAATCATACACATTCTATTGGGTGAAAGATGAATGCTTTCTCTGCGTTTTCTTTACTGATTAATTAGGTTCACTTAGCCCTCAAGCGCATAACTCTCTATGGTATATCGAACAAAGACAATTCACGTTATCGTGTGTCTGCTCAAAAAATAGACCACAGATTACGTCAAAATTTGGTAAGAACAAAATTTGGTGGTAAAAAGCTATTGCTAAATCGAGTTAAAGATTTCACTTTCTCAATGCGGACAAAATTTTCAAAAATTTCAATCATTGTGGGCTATGTAAAGCAAAGGAAACATTTTTGTATGATGTCAGCCATGCGTCTATAAAGTGATTCAATAGTTATTGCCAAATTTCAATCACAGCGCTTGTAGTATTCAGCCTAGAGTATGAAATTTAAGGTTGTAGTGGTAGCAATGGCAAGTGGTAACTGTAGTGGCAGCAGGAAGGGAATTGATGCTGGCGGTAGCAGTATCAGAATCAACTGAAGCGATAGGATTAAACAACAAAAAATGATAAAATTGAGAACTTGAGAGCAAGAGGCAAAATTTGGTTTTCTCTTTAGACGACGGTGGCTATTCAAATTGGGGAGCTTGGTCCAAGTGTTCCGAAACCTGTGGAAAGGGTAGTCACACCCGCACTCGCACTTGTACCAGTCCTCCTCCGAGTGCCGGTGGAAAGGACTGCTCAAGCCTAGGACCTGACAAAGAGACTGGAGAATGCGATGCTGGAGGCTGCCCAGGTATGATTACAAGAACAACAAAAATCATTCTGTTTTTGTTTTCCTTTTTCGTTCCATAGCCTCTTGGCCCTCTCTCACCTTCTTCTTCTCCGCCTCCCGACACTTCTTTCTTCCTGTCCGTCCCTCCTCCTTCTCCCTCATCCTTCTCTTTCCTTCATCTCGTCCTTCTCCCTTTCAACCTTTACAGACCCTTCGTTCAGCGATTCTCTTTAGACCACTCTTCACTCTACAACGTTTCCCTTTCTTCTTTTCTATCCCTTCTCTGTATACCACCCTCTCCGACTATGCTCAGCTTTGTCATCTTGAAGGAACTATCTTTGACTGGCATTTTGAAAACCAAGATGGTGAAAATTTCAGACCTTTGACTGAACAATAGCTTCATACTTTTACTCTAAGACTTAAGTATTTTTTAACATAGGGGTGTATTTACCCTTTCTACACTACGTTTAAGCAGCTTTCACACCAATTCACCAAAAAGATCCGAAACGAAAAAAGCGTTTTTACATATGGTAAAACGTTTTAACCTGTCATTCTCAGAGATGCGCAGGTCCAAAAGATCAGAAACTGTGTTTCTAAATGACTTATCTGAGCTCTTCTTTTTTGGCTCTGGTACACATGAGTGAATGAGTCTGCCGCTGAGAGGAAACCGCTGGGTAAAAAGGTCTAGATGCATGCGCTTAAAAACGAGAGAATGTCAGAATTCAGAATGAAAGGTTTTTTAAACCACCAGTGAGTCTTAACGAAGCTGAATTGCCATGTTGAAGTCTCCGTGATATATTTGCAGTCAATGGCGGCTACTCTGCTTGGACAGCATATGGTGATTGTTCAAAGACTTGTGGAGGTGGGGAACAGACACGTGAGCGGACATGCACTAATCCCCCACCACAGTACGGTGGAAAAGACTGCAGTGGACTAGGACCAAGTTCTTCTACAAGAAGTTGTAACGAAGGGCAATGCCCTGGTAAACCAGGTAGAATTTAAGTTAATCGTTATTTACAATGCAAAGAAAGTGTCAGTGACGTAATGGTAAGTGCGCTCCAGCTTCCGGTGCAAGGAGGATGAACCGCAATTCTCTTTTTTACTTCGTGTAGCGGTCTCTAGGATATTTTGAGTTTTAAATTATGGGCCTATGCTTTTATCGATGCACGGAAGAAGTAGACCTTTTTTTTTTTTTTTGCTGGCAACCATCGGCCATTACTAAGACAACAAATTTATTGACACGGGTTAGGTTAAAGTGGCAAGTAATGTTCATTAATAAATTTCAATGAGGTAGAAAAAGACAGTCAAACAAAAAACACAATTAAAAGAACCGTATCTGACCTAAGATTCTCCAAGCTGAAAATACAGGATGTACAAAAGAGAAAACTTCTAACAGCATGCACTTCGTTTGATCTTATTGTTATTTTAAAGTTGACGGAGGTTACACCCAATGGGAGCAGTGGTCAGATTGCTCCTTGACATGCGGTGGAGGAAGACGCAACCGCCATCGACAGTGTACCAACCCTATGCCATTGAATGGGGGAAGAGACTGTTCAGGTCTTGGACCGTCGAGTGAGACTCAGGAATGTGGTACTGCTCCATGCCCCAGTACGTATTCATATTTGCCCCCGTTGTGATCATTATCTTTCTGATATCATCGTTTTCTTTGTCTTTTACCGTGGAGGGGGGTAGGGACGTTGAATGGAACACACCGGATCGCAGAGGCACACTATAACCTTTCAATAGGATTAGGTTTCTTAGATATAAATATGTGATTGATCGTAGCTTATCTGTCCTCGTGCCTTATATTACAGTAATGCAGCAAAAATCTATTGATTTCTTTGGTCTAGCATTATTATATCGCTAAAAAGAGCAATTCATTTAAATTAAGTGACGAAAAAAATCTGAGATTGCTTTGTTTTGCTTTACTTCGTTATGTAATTGGTCCACAAAACTCACGCCACTTTCTCAACCAATCAGATTTAAAATTAAAACCAGTCGTGACTTGGTCGCACGCGTTTTCCCGTGCTTCAGGCGGTTGGACTGCTTTTACTTCGAGTTCTCATTGGCACCTGGTGACATTTCCCTTCCTATGATTGGTTGTTGTAATTGTTTTGGGTTTGGTATTATGAAACTCCATTGAAAACTGCTCTATTGTGCATGATTAAAAACCTGCTGTGTGTATTTTGCAGTTGATGGTGGATACGGCCAATGGGGAAAGTGGAGCGAGTGTTCAGTTACTTGCGGAAGCAAGAAAGGCACAAGAAGACGTGACAGGCTGTGCGACAGTCCAAAACCTGCGAATGGCGGTAAAGACTGCTCTAGACTTGGAAAGGACACTGAGATGGAGGAGTGCAAACCGAAAGTCTCCAAATGCCCCGGTAAGTATACACACTTTATTTCACGCGTGCTGAACAAAAGACTGCGAAAATACATCGTTTGTCAAATCAGAGACACGAACGTAGTACTTCACAGTGGAGGGCAACAAATGGCTTCCAATCCTTGAAATGTGTCAGTCAGTAAGAAGAAATCTCAGTATGTGTGAAATAAAAACATTACGCCATGGAAAGTGCTTGAACAATTTTTATTCAATCGTTGCGTTGCATCAAAAAAACGAACGAGTGAGCACGGCGAACGAGTGAGTTTTTTGACACATCCCATCCCGTGACTAAAATCGTTATTGCGCACTTTCCATGAAATACTCTCTATTCATTAGATGGGTTGACATACAATAAGCGTCGGTACTTTGCAAGTTGCGAGTCGAGGGATTTGTTATCCAACCATTATTTCACTTTTTAATATTTTGATTTGTTTAGTTTACACTCCACGGGCTAGTCTGTGCATCGCATCGCATCGATCGCTTAGGGAGTACGCGACAGACGAAAACAACACGAACAAAATCATTTAAGTCTTCCTCATGACCAAGGAAGAAGTCTATCGCGATTAAATTTTGTTTCTCTAAAATTCAAGCTCAACAAAACGAAAAAAGGTTTGGATTTTTCAGTGCGGCCATTTTTTTGCGCCGTATTTTTGCCCTGCTGTTTAAAGTAATACCGTGGCATATTTTGCACGTTATCATGGCTTTATTTGATAAAATGATACATGAATGATAAAGAACAAGAACAATGTACTAGGGAAAATGACCTTCTTTTTTACCTTTTAATTTACCCCTTATTTATGTTTCTAAATGCTGTGGTTATAATCAATTGATAGCTCAAAATCGATGGCAGGCATTTTTTAGAGTAACTAGCTCTTAACGCCCTGCACATACCTGATTTTTGCAAAACGCTGTACACAGTTTATTGTTCAAAGTATTACTGATGAAAGCAGAGTAGGGGTTCCGGTCTCATTTTGCAAGCTATTTCACTCATTCGTGTTTTCTGCGGTTACTTCGTTGATGTTGACAGTCAAGAAGTGCAAATCGATAAAAAAGAGGTCATTTCATGGCCACGCGTGGATTCCTGTTTGTAATCTAGGATTGCAGAATATTAAAGTTACTTCAACTTCCGGCATAGCAATAAAGGAATTCAGTCTGATTACAAGAGATACTTTCCTCCCAAAAAAATTTAAGCTTAACTTTGGTAATGCTTGTTGTTAAAACAAAAACTCTTCGTGAATGTAAAAAAGCCATGTAGATCTCTCCATTGGCCAGGTTTTCCTGATTAGTCGCTCTTTTCATAAGCTGACGTTCCAACTTTTAAACAAAGAGACTTAGCTTGTCGTAGAAAAGTTATCCTAGAAAGAAATTTGCTAATGTAAGTGATTTGAACAGTTGTTACTGTAAGGGCAATTTACAGGGTCATTATGCTCCTGGCAAGCTGGAAATATTTTCCTGGACAAGTGCAATGATTAACATAACTATTTGTTTATGTGCAGTTGACGGTGGTTACGGTAAATGGGGCAAGTGGGGTAAATGTAGCAAAACTTGTGGCGGAGGACAACAAACAAGAAAGCGAAAATGCAACAAACCGAAGCCGTCAAAAGGAGGAAAGAAATGTAATGTCCTTGGACCAAGTAAAGAAACTCAGGAATGCAACACAAATCCTTGTGGACGTAAGTAGACTCTTTTATGGCACATTTATGAAAACTCAGAGGAGTTCCACCAACATGTTTTGAGTTTTTCTTTCTTTTACAACATGCAGGACTACCATCGAAAATATAGGGGTACAAAATATTAGCTCGGTATGAAAGAGGAAGGAGAAGAGTCCATAATAAACCAAGAAAGGGATAGGATAATTAGCGATGAAGAAGATTGGAGAAGGGTTTCATTGACCCTGGAATTTAAGGTTAAAATTTCAAGATTTTCGAACCTTATCGTAGCGCAGAAAGGATAAAACTGATTGGTAAAAACTCAGAATTCTCCAGCTGGGGACGAATTGGTCGCTAATTGGCTGATTTAGGGGAATTTTTCATTGAGTGTCTAAAGTGACCCGTGATCGCTTTGTTTTTGCTCCGCTCTATGATTGGTCCAGAAATTCACGCCTTTCTCTCAACCAGTCTGATGCAAAACTAAAACAATCACGACTTGGTCATCCGCATTTTCCCGCGCTTTAGGCAGTTTGGCTGCGTCTACTTTGATTTCTCATTGGCTCTTATAGCCATTTTCCTTTCTTCTGATTGGTTGTTGTTGTGATTACTTTGATTTTAGTTTTACGACACAATCGAAAAGCGCTCTATGTTTACGATTCGAGTTTGCATCTTCAATCAAAATGAAGGTTCATATGTTACAATACTGACAAATCATTTTTATACACACGACGATCGACGGGAAGTAATTATTTTTCAGTGTTGTGATTTGAGAAATGTTGAATCAAATTGCAAGAGCGATCCAGGATTATGTTGGTTTTTCGACACTAGGATGCGCTCTCTGATTGGGGTAGAAAATCTTATGTTCCCACTCTCGACCAGTCAAATAAAAACGTGAAACAAATCATTAGTTGATATCAAGCTTAATTATATCTATCAGTTGGTACGTGCGCTATGATTAGTAAACTAAGCAGGACGTTCTTCTCTGTATCGCCTGCTAATTTCAAAAGTTTGTTTGAGTAGAAATCTCCCCCCTCTTGAGCCAAGAGATATAATAAATATCTTTCTAACCTTGTTTACCCAGTCCGTAATTAAGTTATATAACCTCTTTTTTTCTACTCGGATTTATGGCCTGCGTGCTTTAGGCTTGGGCCACAAAACCGAGCGGACAAAACTTGGCCCGTAACGTACAGTACGGACCAAGCATTCGGTAATTAAGAGGTATTTTATGCGCACAGACGCCACAATTAACATCACATAAATAGCATACTGATTGGAGAATTAGTTTCCTGGCATGGTTTCTGAGAAATTAATTTAATTCACAGATAGGTTTTTACATTTTGAGCTGAGTAATGGAGTAGGGAAAGTCTCGAGCGATTTAACTTTGTTTTTTGATCAACAGCTGCCTGGAAGCCAATGGGCTGCTATATTATGAAAGCTAAAGCACTCGATAAGTATTTCTTAAGAGCAGGAAGCATCTCTCAAATTGGCAAGAGATTCGACGCATGTGTAAAAGAGGCTAAGGCTCAAGGAATCAAATTGTTTGGTATGGATGACAAAAGATGCTGGACAAGTGATAACCCAGAGAAATCCTACAATAAGGTTGGAAAATCGGGACTATGTAAGAAAAAGAAAGACTATGGTACTGGCTTTACAGAGTCCCTCACAGTGTTCGTGTATCGCATGGATGGCAAAGGTAAAGGATCATAACGAACCTTTTCGTATGTAAATAGTGATATGCACAAGCGACGGGAGTGTCACACAACAAGTGGATCCCAATTTGCCTTGTGTCTGGTCAGTTTTAGATCATATTAGATCATATAATGTCCAAATGAGCGAGGAACTTAAAAGTGACGTCTTTTATTTATTGCTAAGCCGATACATCTCAAAAGGAATCTGTGCTTTTTTTGCGCACAGCACCGACATGTGACATGAGTTTGCTCATGCAGAATTTCTTTCTTTGGGGGGGGAGAGCTTCACTGGCCGCAATCTTTTATAATCGCGAAAACATTTTTAAAACTTCACGCCATGTTTTTAAAAAAAAAAAAAGGCTTAACCAGTTTCTCCTGACTTCAGTCGTTTGTCTGTTTTCCCGTAGATCATTGGCACGAATTATTCGGTCTTTTAACATCCACATGTACATTATTTAACCTTAGGCGTGTTTACCTGAAAGTCAAATTGCAGGAAACCTATGACTTCCATGTAGTTAAATGGACTTCAAAGTGAAATTTCCACTCATAACTAAATGATCATGAAAGTTCTCAACTCAATTTTGGTTCGTAATAATTTCACACTGGTTTCGTCACGGAATGTCATAATTCAGTTTTCTTTGAAATTAACAAAAGCGAACATAGCGCGAGAGCATGCCTCATTTTTCGTAAGGAAGCTTGCGTGTAAAATCTTCTTACGTCTATAATTTTATGTTAAGTTTCTATTTTAATAAAAGAACGCGTTTAAACGTTTCTTTTAAAAACAGGTGAATTTAAGGCAGTGGACTGCTTTTTAAACAGTGCCCCTGCAATTTTGCCCCAAGCTTTCGACAAAAATGTCGGGAGTGTGTCCGGTACTGAAGCTAGGGTTGAGTACTGCCAAGAGAAGGCCGAGAAGTTTGGCTACAAAACCTTTGGTATCGACGATAAAGGATGTTGGTCTGCTGACAATGCAGCTTCGGTATATGACGACTACGGAAAATCTAATGCGTGTACAATCTCGAAGAAGACTGGGAACGGTGTTGGAGCCGAGATTAACGCTGATATTTTCGTTTATCAGCTGCAAGGATAAGGTATGTTTCTCCTTTTTTTTTTCCCCTTCAAAGCTGAGTGACCAGCGTGCACTTGGATTCAGTCTTCCATCTGGTTTAAAGCGCTGCGCGAGTTTTCTCAAACACAGTCCCCGATTACGCACAACAATAAATTGGAAATTTCTCTTACTTTTAAGCTCAATTACACTCCTTGTTGTTTGAATACTTTTTTGAATTCAATTTCATCACGCAAATATCAATTTATTTCTATTCATACGTTTCTTACAGATGTCAGAGGGTTATTATCCGAACCAGATGTGAAATGGCTTTCCAAAATCACGGAAAATGAATATCTATTATTAATATTGAAATATAAGCACGTGGGTATTAGTCTGTTGGGAATAAAGAAGGAACATTAAAACCTCTGTGAGAGTTTATTATCTGATATTTAGCTTTACGGTAAAGTTCTCTTAAAAAATATACTTTCCCAAATGTACGCCTTTCAAGAGTGCGGCAAAGAGAGGGGGAAAGAAGTACACCACCCCCCCCCCCGCTTCTTTTTGTTTGGATTGTAAAGCAGCCCGATTAACTGCCCCACTTATAGTCTCCTACGCTTCAGTTGTCTAGTTCCGTCACATGCGACGGTTCCACAACGGCTGTAAGGTTTGTTTTACTTGTTAGGTGTAGAATCTCTCGTATTACTTCTTTAGCGTTCTATTTGTTACCTGTAGTATCTCTCGCGCTGTTTGTTCGGTGTTCTATTTGTTACGTGTGGTATCTCGCACACTGTATAATCTATGTTCTATTTGTTACGTGTAGTATCTCCCACACTGTATAATCTGTGTTCTATTTGTTACGTGTGGTATCTCGCACACTGTATAATCTGTGTTCTATTTGTTACATGTAGTATCTCACACACTGTATAATCTGTGTTCTATTTGTTACGTGTGGTATCTCGCACACTGTATAATCTATGTTCTATTTGTTACGTGTGGTATCTCGCACACTGTAAAATCTGTGTTCTATTTGTTACGTGTAGTATCTCCCGCACTGTATAATCTGTGTTCTATTTGTTACGTGTAGTATCTCGCACACTGTATAATCTGTGTTCTATTTGTTACGTGTAGTATCTCGCACACTGTATGTTCTGTGTTCTTCTTGTTACGTGTATTATCTCGCGCACTGTTTGTTCTTTGTTATGTTTACTACTACTACGTATCTCGCACACTGTATAATCTGTGTTCTATTTGTTGCGTGTAGTATCTCCCACACTGTATAATCTGTGTTCTATTTGTTACGTGTGGTATCTCGCACACTGTATAATCTGTGTACTATTTGTTACGTGTAGTATCTCGCACACTGTATAATCTGTGTTCTATTTGTTACGTGTGGTATCTCGCACACTGTATAGTCTGTGTTCTATTTGTTACGTGTAGTATCTCCCACACTGTATAATCTGTGTTCTATTTGTTACGTGTGGTATCTCGCACACTGTACAATCTGTGTTCTATTTGTTACATGTAGCATCTCACACACTGTGTAATCTGTGTTCTATTTGTTACGTGTGGTATCTCGCACACTGTATAATCTATGTTCTATTTGTTACGTGTGGTATCTCGCACACTGTAAAATCTGTGTTCTATTTGTTACGTGTAATATCTCCCACACTGTATAATCTGTGTTCTATTTGTTACGTGTAGTATCTCCCACACTGTATAATCTGTGTTCTATTTGTTACGTGTGGTATCTCGCACACTGTATAATCTGTGTTCTATTTGTTACGTGTGGTATCTCGCACACTGTATAATCTGTGTACTATTTGTTACGTGTGGTATCTCGCACACTGTATAATCTGTGTTCTATTTGTTACGTGTAGTATCTCGCACACTGTATGTTCTGTGTTCTTCTTGTTACGTGTATTATCTCGCGCACTGTTTGTTCTTTGTTATGTTTACTACGTGCAGTATCTCGCGCACTGTATGTTCTGTGTTCTATTTGTAACGTGTAGTATCTGGCACACTGTTTGTTCTGTGTTACATTTCTTACGTGTAATATCTCGCGCACTGTTTTGTTCCGTGTTCTATTTGTTGCGCGTAGTATGTCGTGCACTGTTTGTCCTGTGTTGTATTTGTTACGTGTAGTGCCTGGCGCACTGTTTTGTTTTGTGGTTTATTTGTTACGCGAAGTATGTCGCGCCCTGTTTGTTTTGTGTTGTATTTGTTACGTGTAGTATCTCGCACACTGTATAATCTGTGTTCTACTTGTTACGTGTAGTATCTCGCGCACTGTATGTTTTGTATTCTACTTGTTACGTGTAGTATCTCGCGCACTGTAGATTTTGTATTCTATTTGTTACGTGTAGTATGTTGCATACTGTTTTGTTCTGTGTTCTAATGGATTGGTTAAGATAAATGCAGTGTTAGGTAATTCAGTGCAGAAGAGAGTTAATTCAATGCAGACGAGGGTTAACTCAATGCAAAGAAAGAAACAAATCAGACATTCTGATTGGTCAATAATCAAAGAAACTCACAGATAGCCAATCAAATGCGAGCCTTGGATGTCGCAACAAAATTTGAAAATTAGCGAGGGAAACAATGGCCAGCGTTTTGAAGTAGGTTTTCTTTCGCCACCGCAGCTGAAAAACAACTTAAACAACGAAAACGCTGTAAAAGCACTGCTTTTTGGTTGTCGGTTTGGAAAAAGTGGTGTTTAGAGAGGGGAATTGCCGAGGAAATCGAAAATTACGAGCTGACCCAGCTTAACACTTTGCACGAGCGATCCAACGCCGAAATTAAAAACAAACATGTTTAAACCTCGGAAACGACGATTCCATTTAATCGAAATTGATTTGGACACAGACTGAAAAATTCCTTGAACTGTTTAGCCGGACTTTGAACTTTTTTGCCCTTAAAGATGTGAAGATATCATTGCATCAGTATTGTTTCGATCGTACGCGGTTGTTTTGACCGAACGCACGGTTTGAATAAATTATTTTTTGCACTTGACGCGCGCGCTTTGCTTATGTTTAATTATAATAAGCCATCTCGTATTTTTCCATGTACCATGGTATGTGTTTCCATTACCTATACGTATGTCGCGCACTGTTTTGTTCTGTGTTCTATTTGTTACGTGTAGTATCTCGCGCACTGTTTTGTTCCATTTTCTACTTGCTACGTGTAGTATCTCGCGCACTGTTTTGTTGTGTGTTCTACTTGTTACGTGTAGTATGTCGCGCACTGTTTTGTTCTGTGTTCTGTTTGTTACGTGTGGTATCACGCGCACTGTTTTGTTCTGTGTTCTATTTGTTACATGTAGTATCTCGCGCACTGTTTTGTTCCGTGTTCTATTTCTTGTTTGTGTAGTATCTCGCGCACTGTTTTGTTCTGTGTTTGTTCTGTGTTCTTTTTCTTGTTTGTGTAGTATCTCGCGCACTGTTTTGTTCTGTGATCCACTTGTTACGTTTAGTTTCTTGCACACTGTTTTGTTCTGTGATCCACTAGTTACGTGTAGTTTCTTGCGCACTGTTTTGTTTTGTGATCCACTTGTTACGTGTAGTTTCTTGCGCACTGTTTTGTTTAGTGTTTTACGTATTATGTGTATATCTCGTGCACTGTTTTGTTCTGTGTTCCTTTTGTTACGTGTAGTATCTTGGACTCTTTTTTTTAGTGTTCTATTTGTTACGTGTAGTACCTCGCGTACTGTTTTGTTCTGTGTTCTACTTGCTACGTGTAGTGTCTCACGCACTGTTTTGTTCTGTGTTCTATTTGTTACGTGTAATATCTCGCGCACTGTTTTGTTCTGTGTTCTTCTTGTTAAGTGTAGTATGTCGCACACTGTTTTGTTCCGTGTTCTACTTGTTAGGTGTAGTATCTCGCGAACTCTTTTGTTCTGTATTTTACTTGCTATGAGTAGTATCTCGCGCACTGTTTTGTTCTGTTCTATTTGTTGCGTGTATTATCTCGTACACTGTTTTGTTCTGTATTCTATTTGTTACATGTATTATCTCGCGCACTTTTTTGTTCTGTGTTCTAATTGTTACGTGTAGTATCTCGCACACTGTTTTTTTCTGTGTTCTTCTTGATACGTGTAGTTTCTTACGCACTGTGTTGTTCTGTGTTCTACTTGTTCTGTGTATTATCTCGCGCACTGTTTTGTTCTGTGATCCACTTGTTACGTGTAGTTTCTTGCGCACTGTTTTGTTCAGTGTTTTACGTATTACGTGTAGTATCTCGTGCACTGTTTTGTTCTGTGTTCTATTGCTTACGTGTAGTATCTTGCGCACCGTTTTGTTCTACTTCTTAGGTGTAGTTTCTTAGACTCTGTTTTTTTAGTGTTCTATTTGTTACGTGTAGTATCTCGCGCATTGTTTTGTTCTGTGTTTTACTCGTTACCTCGCGCACTGTTTTGTTCTGTGATCCACTTGTTACGTGTAGTTTCTTGCACACTGTTTTGTTCAGTGTTTTACGTATTACGTGTAGTATCTCGTGCACTGTTTTGTTCTGTGCTCTATTGCTTACGTGTAGTATCTTGCGCACCGTTTTGTTCTGTGTTCTATTTGTTACATATTATCTCGCGCACTGTTTTGTTCTGTGTTCTATTTGTTACGTGTATTATCTCGTGTACTGTTTTGTTCTGTGTTCTGTGTCTACGTTGTATTTTTTGTTGTATTTGTTACGCGTATTATCTCGCGCACTGGTTTTTCCTGTGTTCTACTTGCTACGTGTAGTATCTCGCCTACTGTATGTTCTGTGTTCTATTTGTTACGTGTAGTATCTCGCGCACTGTTTTGTTCTGTTTTACTTGCTACGTGTAGTATCTCGCGCACTGTTTTGTTTTGTGTTCTATTTGTTACGTGTAGTATCTCGCGCACTGTTTTGTTCTGTGTTCTACTTGTTACGTGTAGTATCTCGCGCACTGTTTTTTTCTGTGCTCTGTTTGTTACGTTTAGTATCTCGCGCACTGTTTTGTTCTGTGTTCTGTTTGTTATGTGTAGTATCTCGCGCACTGTTTTTTTCTGTGTTCTATTTGTTACGTGTAGTAT